TAATCATTATCAATTTCTTATATTAACAAAAGTTTTTGATGGTAAAATGAAAGAATTACAAGATAAAGGATTTGAAGAAATAAAAGGATCTACTGCTTTAACTTGACAAACATTGCAAATATTTTATCAAATTCAGCAACATCATTATTAACTTCTGATACACTCATTAAAAGAATATTTTTTTATAATACCTTTCTTTTAGCTTGTTGAGATGGTAAGAATTATCAGTTAACAGTAAATCAATTTAATTTTCGAGATAATGGTAGAATTGATTTTCAAAGATTTTGCGCAAAAAATAATTAAAGAGAAATAACAGGAGGTATAACATAAAAGATTACAATTTTAACTGATTTATTTAATTCTTAAGGACTATGCTATAATTATCAATTATATTTTTACTTATAATATAAAGAACCAAGAATCTCAAAAATCAAGTTCAAAATATTAATCAAGAAATTTATGAACCTGTGCAACAAATTCAAGATTATAATAAGAAACTATTATAAACTTCTCAAATTACAAATTTTAAATCTCAAGATTTACCAATTAATATATCTTTTAATAAAAGTAGTAAAGAAGAGGTCTGAAGTTTAATAATTGTCACTTTCAAAATGTTAACTTTACTTTAAATAATTTTTATTTATAATTATAAATAATGTTTGTATTAATATAATATTTTTAAATGCTTTTTATATATCAATTTTATTAAAACTTTATTAAACTTTTTGTGGTACAATTTTCATTTGATATATCATGGTAAATGCGTCATGTTGATATTTTCACAGAAAATTCAACTCTGATAGTGAATCTGATAAAATCTCAATATAAAATATCACAGGCAAACAATTAGTAAGTGGGTAATATAATTTAATAATTAACATATCTTATTATTTAAATTATTAAATATTTTCAAACATAAATAAGTTACATAAATTACAATAAAAATATCATTAAAATATTAATAATTGATAAAATTACTCACACATTATTATATATTATTATTAAATATTTTAAAATAAAAATTTAGTTAAATTAAAATACAGTAAAAAAATATAATTAAATATTAATAATTAACAAAAAATAACTTACTTTCTTTAATAATATTTTTTTAAATTAAAAAATTTAATTATATATAAATTACAATAAAATACATATTATATATTACTAATTAATAATAATAACTTACTATCGAAATTTTTTAAATAAATATGAATAATTAATAAAATAACTTATCCACTATTATATTATTAATATTAAATATTTTTATATAAAAAATTTAGTAAATTTATTTATAGTATAAAAGTATATTTAAATATTAAAATCAAAAAATAACTTACTATCTAAAATTATTAAATATTATTAAATATAAAATTTAAATTACAGAAAAGTATAATAAAATACTGATAATTAATAAAAATAACTTACTTTTTATTGTATTATTAATTATTAAATATATATTTAAATAATAAGTAAATTTAAAATATAGTAAGAAATACTAAAATACTAATAATCAATAAAAATAACTTATAATCTAAATTATTAAATAATTTTTAAAAATATATTTTAATTAAATTAAATTAAGTAAAAAATTATACTTAAATAGTAAAAATTAACAAAAGAACTTACTATCTAATTTATTAAATATATATTTAAATATAAATTTTAAATTATAATAAAAAGTATAATTTAATAAAAATATATTACCTTCTAATAATTTGTTTTTTAATTAAAAATTTAATTAATTCAAATTTATAAAAATGATATTTTATTCAAAAAAATAATAATTTACTCTTTTTAATAATATTTTTTTTGAATAAAAAAATTTAGTTAAGTTTAAATTATAGTAAAATTGTAATTAAATATTAATAGTTAATAAAAATAACTTACTAAGTATTGTATTATTAATATTAAATATTTAATATTAGTTGAATTTAAATTATTGTAAAAAGTATAATTAAACACTAATAATCAATAAAAATAACTTACTTTCTTTAGTAACATTTTTTAAATACAAAATTTAGTTAAATGTTAAAAGTGTAATTAAATATTAATAATCAATAAATATAACTTATCATCTGTTATATAATTAATTATTAAATATATGTTTAAATAAAGAATTTAGTTGAGTTTAAATTATAGTAAATAGTATAATTAATATCAATAATTAATAAAATAACTTACAATTTAGATTATTTAAATAAAATTTCTTTAAATTATAGTAAAAATTATTATTAATTAATTAATTAATATAACTTACTTTCTGTAATAATACCAGTATATTAGTAAATTTTAATTATAGTAAAAATTATGAATATTAAAATAGCTTACATTATATTAAATATTAAAATTAGTTAAGTATAAATTATAGTATAAAAATATAAAGAATAAAAACAACTTACTCCCTATAAATAAAATAGTTTTAAAACTATATGGTTTAATTAAATTTAATTATAGAAGTTAAATATAACAAAATTAAGATTGCTTACAATCTAAGTATCATTGAACATTAAATTATTTTTAAAATCAATGAGTATTAATTATTATGGAATTATAATTTAAATCAATAATAAATAAATATTTATTACCTATTAATTCTTTTAATGTAGGAGCATCAGAAGCATAAATCATGATATATTTATTTTTAAAAAAACTGTTTTGAAATAGATCATAGCTCAAACAAATATTTAATAATATTTCTTTACCATCTAATTCTTCTAATGTTTCAAAAAATATTGAGTACATTTACGAATTATATTATTTATTGATTAATTATAGTTTAGATATTGTTGTATCTACTTTCATCACTCGAATATGGTTCTATAATTCGAATTTAATGAAATTATTAGGAACAAAATTTGAGTATTTAATATATTTTGGTTGAGTTTTTATAGCATGATTCCTTAAAATTAACTAAATTAACTTCCGGCGCAAAGAATTTATTCGCCGCATAGTAAAGATTATAAAATGCATGATTAAAATATTACCTTTAATTCTTCTAATGAATCAGCATCCGAAACTGACTCTAATAGGTTGCAAATTATTTTTTAAAGAAAACCGTAAAGCTTGTTAATTCACGTTAAAATTAATACGTACCAACTTCATCTATATCAGACACATCTTTATTCCTCTTTTTAGCTTTGGTAAATATATTTTTAAGTGCACTTTTTTCTTTAATGTTGGTCATTATTATAAATTTTAAGGAAAAAAAAAAAGCTTTATACAAACATTTATTGTTGTTCTTTTTAAGATCATTGACCTTTTATCGATCGTTTTAAGTTGCAGCCAATCAACATTGAAAATTTTTGCACGTTTATTTTGTGAAACATAATACTCTTGTAGCTTCTTATATAAACCCTATGAAAAATAACGCGCGGAAGTTACAGAAAACGTTCTGAAATGATCTTTAAAGGACTAACTGCAAATATCCAAAACAGCTTACATGCTAAATTATGGTTTCTCCGGGCGAAATTATATTCAATGTAACAATATTTACAGACGAATTTGTTTAACCAATCAAAAAAAAGATAATCACATGTTCTATTTGTATAAATTTAACTTAACGTTCAAAGTTTTAATTTACTTAGGAAATCGAAGCAGAACCAAGTTGAATCGGTTATGGAATTTGCTGTCTTTTCCTGAAAGTCCAGTTAGACATTTAATATTGTGCAATTTCACATTCAAATTATTTCTTGGTTGCAAACAATAGAGCTACACTCTAAATTGAAATGGCGGTGAATTCTATATTATTTAAAATTTAACTCACAAGTATAGATAAATTTATAAATTTCGCCCGTAAAGAATTTCCTCAACCACTCACTCTCCTCGATGCACTGTCATGGCCCTTTTCGAAGAATACTTTTTTGAAGAAAATGATTGAAATTACTTATCGCGCGTGACTGGAGACATATAAATTTTTATTATAATGTAACAAAATAAAATATATTCTTCAAATAAACTAGACTGTTTAGTGAGATTTTTATATTAATACCCAGTAAACACATTTAATTAATATAATATAAGAATATGTACATTTTTTTTTTTCACTTTTTTTTTTAGCGATTCTCACTAAACTTATTATCAAAGAAAGTCGGTGCTTCACAATAAAAATCGATTAAAATGTTAGAATTGAAACTTAATCGATTTTTAAAATTTATTTGATCGATTTAAATAAGTGTGATCATGTAATTTAAAAAGTTTTTTTTCTTTGGTTTAAAATTTTCTTTTTATTATATTATCATTATACATCATATAAAAATAACAAAAAGATTAAGAAATAATTTATCTTTACGAATGCCGCAGTAAAAAGTATGGTTTGAAAGTATATGATAGCAGAATGGTAAATATGAATTTACAAATTTAAATTTACCTTAGTCTAAACATTGCTAACTCAAATTTGAATTTATAAAAACAAAAAAATTAAGATTCATGCTTTTATTTCTTATTACTATCAGACTATGTTATAAATTTTTTAAGACCAATTATTAATTTTTAATTAAAATAACATTCGTAAGTTTTAGATAAAAAACTAATTTGGTAATTATGAATGTAAGGTGATCGTCAGCCGCAAATTTCTAAATCTGGTAAACAGAAACGCTGTGTTACATAAATTAACATTCGATTCCAACGAATGTTATTCTCCAGAGATGGAAGGAGGCTATAAATAACGGAGAAAGTTTATTTGACGAATGCTAAACACGTTACCTTCGGATTGAACTATATCACGATATTTTAAAAAGGGTTAGACCATGATCCGTTGGTATTTTAGAATCTCATTCATCACACCCTCCACCACCAATTCTATGTTAGCATAATTTGCAGCATTGAATAAAAAAAAAATAATAATAATAAATTTGTATAATGAACGAGTGAATAAGATTAAAAATTAATGTCAAATTAATTTATTCATTATAGATTTTAATATATGTATAATACTAATAATACATTATAACATTATGATGATAATATACATAATAACAAAAATAATAGTATAGGGAGAAGGGTTATGCGATGGCATAAGACCTTAAAATTGACCACTTTGACTTTGTCGAAGTAACGAAAGGACTTATTTGAAATACTTCATATTCATCAATGGAAAATTCTTCTTCATCATCCCTAATTTTATCTTCATAACTAGTTTGCACGCACCTACATTCCCCCTTATCTTTAAAATCAGCACCAAATAATCTTAAATCGGAATATCCCCCACCAAAACAAGGACCGTATGACTCACTTTGATAGACTGCTTTAGAAGCATTGGAAATTTTTGATAATTTGGGTTCATAATTAAATACTTTATCACCAAGGGAAAAAATAAATGAAGAATTTGATGGACTATAGTTTCCTAATATGTTTGAATGCCAATTGACCGGGTTATACCCTCCTAAGATTTCTCCCGTATTCTCAACCCTTAAAATTGTTATCGTCGGACCTTTTTCATCGCACCTCGTGTGAAATTCTTCAGGGGTAAACCCATCTCTGCTACCACGTAATAATAAGTTAAATTCGAACAAAGGATTGTCTTGTTGAGAAGGAAAGTTAGTACCGTTACTCGATGATACCTCGTAAATCCAATTTGCTAGTAACGTTGCGTCAGAAGGTGTGATCAAATTGGAATCAATCTCTTTAATATGTCTACGATCCCTCACTTCCAACAGTAATTTAAACAATTTAGAAGTAACATTAACAGCGGGTAATTGACGAAATTCAAGAACTTGAGTATAAAAGTCCGGATCAATGTAATCTAAACATTTTTTCCAAGGTCTAACTTCTGAAAGGAATTCTTCGGAATCCATCTCGGTAAATTTAATTAATGTGATAAAAGGTTCAAGCGTATCCCCTAAAGCTTCAAAATCCTCATCATCCCACTCAATGTATTGTATCGGTACCGATGGCGTGTGAGCCACACCCCATTCCACCAAATTTCTCCACAAGATTCCAGGTTTAATTGAAGAAAAGTTATGACATTTAAAAAAAGCGATTAATGTATCTTGATCGATAGTAGTAAAATCATTTGAATCAAATATTGTCGAAGGATTCTCCTTTATTAATTCGATTACACATTTTCTTATTTTGGGAAACCTTTCATCATTTTGCATCGCGAATTTGTGAAATAACACAAAATGGGACATTAACCTCCATGAATTATTTAATAAATATTCTTGAATGAAATCTGTCAGTTCATCAAGTTCTAATTCATCCGTTGAAATTAATAATTCGAGAATAACTCTTGCATCATGTTCCGCAAGGCATAACGATCCTCCATAAAGAAACCTAAGAAAAAATAAAGAAGACAAAGTTATTAAAGAACGATTTTTTTTCCTAAAAAAAAAAAAAATTTCGATTTTACCTTAAAATGATTTCGAAAACTTCGGGGGAAATATCGAGTTGTTTGAAAATCATTAAATTTCCTTGGGTTTTCGCCCATTCATTTGATAAAGCGTCTCTAAAATATGTTGATCTCGATCTTAATACAAGTGAATGGGCACGGAATTCTTTATTATCAGGTTCTTGTCCCGTATATATGATAACATCCGCATATTCTCCTGTTTCCAACAATTTAAGAAAATCTTGAGACAGTCCTAACAAAAATTTGTTTTCCATCTTTTGAAAAAAAGAAAGTTTTTAGTTAAAAAAAATAGAAGTAAAGTGTGTTATTCAGTTATTTAAAAAAGAGATTTTTTTTTTTTTTAAGGGGGGGAGAATACGCTTTTATAATAATTCGTGAAACGAAACATGGGGGGTGCCAAGTGGTTGTTGCAGAGGCGCAGAATTATTTACAAAATTAATGCAAGTTGTTATAAATAGAAATATGGCGGGGAAATCTTTATGTTTTGACATAATTGTGATACTATAACATTATGACCAATCAAAAATTAATTCTATTCTTCTAAGAAGATTTACTAATCGCAATCGGGGCAAGGGAAAGGTCCATAAAAATAGGTATGGATAAAGGAGTAACTATTTCGGTCTTAGACCAATTTAAATTCTTTTTAATAAATAAATAAAGTAGGTCCGATTAGGCCCTCATATATTAATCACGTGTTATCAACTTTCCTCAATAATATGAACATAGTAATTCAAACAAGTCAATCATGCGATAAATGATATTTGTTACATATATCGTCTGCATTCATTTTGTAATTTCTGCAAGTAAATGTGGCGCAGGAAGTTTGGAAACAAATTTATTTTATTTTTATTTAGATTTTACTATTAATTACCATATAGCAACTTTATTTATATGATTTTGTATTGCACCTCGTGAACATCAAATTTGAGTTTATGTATCTATTAAATAGCTTGCTTATATGCTGCTATGTTATCATTAGAATAATTTAGTTAATCTTTGTCGATCCTTTTTTTTGATAAATAGTCTTTTATTGTAAAAATTAATAAAGTAATTAAAAAAAAAAAATTAACAGAAAAGAAAAATTAAAATATCCAAAATTTAATCCGAACCAACCCGAACTTAACCTAACACTAACTTAATCTTAACCCGAACATAAGCCGAACCAAACCCAACCATAACCCGAACCTAACCCGAACCTACCTATTATTTTACTTCGAGAATAATCAAAAATACATGAAAATTAAAATTACACTCTTTATTACATGACGAAAAAAAAAAATTTCTAAGTAAATAGCTTATCTTATCACCGTTATGCGCAATTACTCTTTTAATCTTGTTGGCATGTTACGAGCAAATTTAAGTAGAATTTTAGGTTCGATTTCTTCCCACTCTTTTTTAATTATTTCAATAATAAAATGACCATAAATTTACGACAGGGTTGAAATCTGAACTATTTGATGCCAATCCACCAACCTTGGACACCGCTCAGAAAGAGTTTTAGGTTTTCCTACTTTGGTATAAAAATTGATCGACAAAAAAAAAGCAAATAAATAATTGACTATTGAATCAAAATTTTAATTGATTTTATATTGCAGAAAAAAAAGGATGTTTTTTATATTGGATTTTATTCCAATTACTTTTGTCGTGCACTGTAACCCAATCCAATCCAACCCAACCCAACCCAAACTCAACCCAACCCAAATTGAACCCAAATTACCTAATACCTTACAGAAGTAATCCAAGAACCTAAAGGAAAAGGCGCAAATTCCAAAATAAAGAAAAATAATATTCGATCGCTGCGATCCGAAGCGATCGAATCCGAAATCAAAAAAAAGCCAAACAAATATAAAACGACTTGACCAATACCCGTGCAAATAAATTATTTCTGAACGGGAAAGAAGCTTTCTTGGTAATATTGTTGTGAGATACTGAAATTGGAATTCCAATTACAGATATTTCTAATTTCAGTCTGTCATATTGGTCAATTTCTGTGTAACAACTATTTTCAGACACGAGCCATCTGAAATTAGGTATCTTGAAATCAAATTCAGACAGAATCTGAATTTCAGAATTCAGATACGAGGCCGTCTGAAATTGAGATGTCTGAAATTTAATAGAATATGAAATTTAGACAATTTATGTATTTATAAATTAATAAAGAATATGAAGAATCTATTATCTACATGTACAATTAATTTATTATCTACAAAAAAATAATAAATATTATAATTCTTAAAAATAAAAATGAAAAAATAAAATAAAATTCAAAAAATGAATAAAGAATTTATTTAAATGGCGCGATCGAAAAACCTGGATGAAAATCAAAATAAAAAAGATAAAATAAAAGAATAAATAAAATATAAATTAATGAAACTTATTTACGTTATAATGTTAAAATAGAAAAAAATAAAATAAAAGCAAAAAACAATATCTTGCATATGGAAAGCTTAAAATCATGAGGTGCGTTCCTTTCTTTCATTTTACATTAAGTGGTGTGAATTGAACTCGGAATAATTTAATTTGACAAAATCTTACTCATTATTTTCAATTACAAGTAAATCACCTTTTCGTTGATTTGAATAAATTTTCTCCTATCGTTAAATCATAATATTGCTACAATTTTTTTGCATTTGCATTAAAGCTCATTCCATTCATGAGTTTAAAAGAAAAATACCAAAATGCATATATCAGATTATAATCTATTGAGTAATTATACAAATAGAGAGAAAGGTGAAGATTTGTTATACTTGTGATTATCTTTAATAAACTTTACCATCTCAATAAATCTTCAATGTCACCAGTTGAAATAGTCCATTTCGGCCAGAATTTGGTTGTCCAGTTTTAGAACAAATTATGATCTAAAGCTGGGTGAAATTATACTGAAAGTTACATGTGACGAATGATGTAAATTGACTGCCGCTTGTACAATAAATAGATTACTCAAATCATCACATGTTCAAACAAAATTTAACTATTTAAAAAATAAAGGGACATGTTTGTGCATGTGATCTTTTTAATTTTAGAAAGTAAAGATTTTTTCTATAAATAAATTCACTAAAACAGAACTTGTACAACCTGAATCAACAGTAGGTGAACATTCAGAGGTTTCCTCAAGGTTCGACTATTTAAAAGCAAAATATCGATAAAATTTCAGTTATTACAAATGACACAAATCGATAAAAAACAAGTAAAATTTTGATTTAAAATCGTTGACGAATTATTATAATTAATTGATATATTTATACTGTATACAATTATCATTTACGTTTATAATGTAATTTATAACTAAAAAATACTATAAAAATGTTGAAATATAATATAAAAAACTTAATAAAAATGTTAAAATTTTCTATAAAAAATGTTAATAACAAAATAAAAATAAATAATAAAAATGTTAATAAATTATTCTAAATAACCATCATAATGAATATTTCTCACTGTATTTATTACTGTTTCACTTTGAAAATATCTTTTGATTATGAATAAAAAGATTCTTAAATATTTCATAAGGAATTATACAATTTTTGTAAGCTGAATTATAGAATCAGAATTATTATATAAGAACATTGAAGATTTATTTAGATAATAAAGTTAATTTTAATTAAAGATAATTACAGTATAACAAATCTTCACCTTTATCTTCATTTATATAATTGCTTAATAGATTATAGTCTATTATATGCATTTGGTATTTTTTTTTTGAACTCATGTATGGAATATTAGGTATTTTTTTAAGAATTTTTGAATAAATCAACTTATCTAATTTATGAATAATTTTTAGATTCTTTACTAAATAGTAATAGAAATATCAAATATGAACTAATATATTAATTGATATTTGATATTCAAACTGACAGTATTATAAGTTCTGATGATGTTGAGATAAAAAGACTTGAATTACTAGATAATTAATCTTCTATTAGTTTTTTTTAGATACAGATGAATTTTCTTCTGATGAAATTTACTGATTTTAGATAAATTCATGAAATATTAAAGAATTAAATGTTACTGATAATAAAACATTTTCTAGCAAATTTCTTAAACTATCATCTAATAATATAATTATTTCAGCGAAATACTTGATTTGATAATTAAATACTACAATACAATTTATACTACTTTTAACTTTATAGAAGTTATTTAATAAGGATTTAGAAGATAGTATTACTATTTAAAGCAAAATAAATTAATTTAGAGGGTATTAAAATCTTTAGTTCGTTAATATCTTTATAAAATATAAAAATTTGTATATTTTAGCCAAATTTATTACAAATAATAGCATTTTTGATTATTACTAAACTAAGTTTAATATTATTTTACTCATAAGGTCAATTTGACATTTAAATAGACTATATATTTTTTTAGAATATATTTACTGATATAAATTTGCAAATTCTCCAAATATGTGATATTATTTTAGTGAAAAAGAAATATGTAATATTGAATTATATGATTAAAGATGATTACAGCAATTAAAAAAATAGCATATTGAATTGTAACTTGTGATACAATTAAATTTTCTTATAGCATAATTAGTTGCAACTCAATTAAAATTTAAAAATAATTATAATAGGGATCATCTTTATATATGATATTGAATTTACCTAAAAGTTATAATTTTATAATATCAGTTTATCATATTTTGGATTGATTTCACTTTAGTAAATATGAAAGGATATTTAGTTATTAATTTAACTAATAGAAATTACTTTTTATGAAAATAAATTGAATGTTTATATAATAAAATAAAATAAAATTTAGAAGTAAATATAACTAATATTTTAAATTATAAAATTTATACTATATAGTTAATTTTTAATGTATATTAATTAGATATTGATATCATGTGAAGTCAATCTTGCTACGTTACAAAGATTGATGAATAATCAACATTATTAACATTATTAGCATTTATAACTTAGTTAACATTTTTATTTTATTTATTTTATTTTTATATTTTATTATTATTATTTATTATATTATCATCATTAAATTGTAATTTATCTTTTATATTTATCTTAATGTTATAAAATAGTTTAGCATTAGATAGTAATTTCTTATAGTTGTATTTTTGTATAAATAGAATAGAAATTTGTTCTTGTAAAAGAGAGAGATAATAGTATAAACTCAATAGTCTGAGTTCAAGAATTAGAATCTAAGATTAAGGATTGCTAAGAATACAAATCTCTATAATAAAGGAATCTCTTTTTAAACTAAACATATTAAAATTCTTCAACGTGTCAATTGTGTTTATCGTATTTACAAGTTGTTAAAATTATTTTTACTCGTCTAAAGTATAAACCTAAGGTTGATTATAATAGGACTTATTCTATAGTAACTTAGTAGTTTCTCGCACGTTACTCCCTATTATTAAGTTATAGTTACTCTAAGTTTGATAGGCTGAGCGTAGGATTAACAATGTAAATTAGATATCAATTAGTTATAAAAAAAATAAGTTAAATATTAGCTGATTTTTAATGTATTATCAATTAGATGTAAATTAGATGTTAATTAGCTATAAATAAGATAGATCAAATTTTAGCTAATTCTTGATGTATACTAATTAGCTATAATTATACCAAATAGTTATAAATAAGAAAAGTTTAATTTTAGTCAAATTTTGATTAATTTTTAATGTATATCAATTAGTTAGACTATTTTAATAATTTGCCAATTTTAAGTTGATTTTTCACATGTCTAATTTTATTGATTTTGATTAGTATTATCAATTAATTCTATTATTTTTAAAATAAATCTTCATAAAATTGAAGAGAAAAAAATTAAACTTAAAATTTAATTCATATTCTTTAAATTCATAAGAAATATTAATAGAAATCAACTTAAATGAAAATTTATTTCTATTTATAAATTCTTTATAAATATTATTAGTTTAAATACTGAGTTTCATAATTTAAAGATAAATTTAGAAAATATATAGAAGTAGTATTATTTTTAAAGTTTAAAGTTGCAATTTTTATAATATTAATAATCGTAAAAACTATTACTTAATATTTTAAATTGAATGAAACTTACTTATAAATATTATTTAATAATATATTGATTAACCTTCTTTTAAATATATTATTTAATATTTATTATATGTAAATAATCTATTACAAAAAAGGAAATAAAAGTTTAAATATGGCTTAGTAAAATTTAGCAGTATATTTTATTATAAGAAAATAATCAGTAATATAATTTTTATAATCTGAGTATAATATTTTCACTGATTGTTATTCTTTTTTATGAATATTATTTTTATATATAGTTCTGAAAATAAGCATTTTATAACATGCTTCTTTATAGTAATTTACTTATCATATAAAATTTATTATATTATTAG